GAAAATTCTCCATTCTTTTGAGGTTTTACCTTGAAAGTAATTGCAAAAATAATCCCACTTACTTGGCAACCCATAAGCAGATCTATGATAAAGTAACAGACAATTGAGGTTACTGAGAAAACCTGAAGTGATACAATGACAACACGCATCATTGCCTGTGTTATCCTGAAAGCACTAAACAACCAAGATGATGTTTTCGGTCATGAGACTGCCCAATAGGAGCAGTGACTTAGTTCCAAAACATCCCACAAGAGAGATCATACACTTGATCTTAGCCCACAAAAGGCCGGGAAGCCACTACATGCCTTCTTATATCCTCTCGCACGTTCACGTTAATACTAGTATTTCACTCGTTTCTATTTCCATGATACCGAAACCAGATTAGTGCAATACATCTATTTTTGGCTGCAGAGTGCTGTCGTCTTTTTTGTTTTTTAGTTGCATGCTAAACCTGTTCATAAAAGTGAAAACACAGATAACATTACAGAACCACCCAAAAATATCAAGAAACAGAAGTTTTCGTTTCAAAGCAAAAGTTCAAGTAGTCGACCCTGCAAGCATCTAGGTAGCAAGTAACCAGCAGGCTCAGAGGGCTGCCAAGGGCAGTGCTCAAACTGGCAGTTATCTGGATGCTGCTTAGGTTCAGCGGCCACAGAACTATTCCAATGTCAGTCTGCCTGCAAATATTCTGGCTTGCAACAAAATCCTAGATTTCACTGTCTTTGAGCAAATTACTAGTAATTTTGAAACAAATCAGAGCCACAGTTTGAGGCCTGGCTACACATACAAAAGCTAAGAACTGTAAATTGTTGGTCTCACATGATTATACAAGAAAAAGAAATCTAAAAAGGAACCTCATCTGAGAGGGACTGCTACCTTTGATTGTAATCTGACCTGAAAGGTATACCTTTGAGGAAACAAAGTATGTAAAGTGATATTTTCCAGAAATGAAAAAGGCACAGATTCATTATATCAACAGATATAATGCAGTTGTTTGCCGTGGTTGCTGTTAATTCCAAGTAATACAGTTTTAGTTCTGTAGACACGGTGTACTCAGAGAAACAGCCCTGCACCTTTTACTACTGATTTCAGCATGCTGATATGAGTATTAGGTAAACAGCTAGAGAACAGGCCTCATGCCCCCATTTTAAACTTCACAAAGACTGTGCAAGATGGATGCAAACTGCTTGTTCAGACCAGGGGCAGGCAATTATTTTGGGCAGGCTTACTGAGTTTCGGCAAGCCATCGAGGGCTGCATAACAGGCAGCCCTGGGCAGATTAATATTAATTTTCTAATTTTTTTTAGGGGCCCAGCAGGCTGGATAGAATGGCCTCCAGCCCCTGTACCACATTTTACCCATCCCTGGTTTAGACAAAATGCAGGCAAGGAGTTAGGTTAGTGGACCAGCAAATTACCTTGACTACACAAAAGACTGCTAAGATCACAGTTGCCTCACCTGAAGTTATGTTGAGCCATTAAGAGGCATGTGTTTTTTTTCCTGTGTTAGTAGTGGGAATTGAGTGAGAGTTGAATGCAGGGAAAAATAATCAAAAGGCAGTGGACTTCTGCCATCTCCTGGAAAATTAAACTGGCTGACAGTGGAAGAAGCCAACTTCAATACTGTATAAAAAGGAAAATAGTAGTCAGAGCACTGACACCTATATGGGCTTGCAACAGTGGATTGCACTGTATAAATCTTTAAAGAGAACTCTTCCTACAGGGAGCTCCAGGAGCTAAGACAGATCAAAATGCAGTGTGATAAATCTTCAGAGAAGCAAAGCGCTAAGAGTACAGTTTTCATGTTTTGTCTGTTTTGCACTTTACATTGCCTATATTATAAAGAGTCTTTGTTTTGTACTTCAACATCTGGTCTACTGCACTTTATCCCATTGTGCTTTTGGAAAATATGCTGTGGTCACTGACCACGTTTAGTGCATTGCTAAACCCTGTCACATGACAGCGCAATATCATTCATTGCCTGCATGTGTTATCCACCTAAGGGCTGAATCATTCCCATTTTCAACAACACAACATACAAAGGTATTTAACAACATCTTTGGCGAGAGAGAAAACTATCAGAATTGCAACACAGCTTATCAAACTGCAAACCAAAGTTTTCATTACATTTTAATCAAATTTTACACAAAATTTGATCTTAATGAAATGGAGACAAAAGTGGAATCACCCTTCTTGTGCCTGGGGCTCCTGTAAATAAAGCAAGGTTTCTGTCTCTGAGCACACAAAGCTGAAAACAAAGGGTAGATGACAGGGCGAATGGAAACCTCCTGACAATTTCTGAACCAAGAAAAATCGTGGTATCCCACACATGACCATGCACCACCTGGATTCCCAGTTTCTACTAGCCAAGGTTGAAATCGTTTGCAAGTTTTATCTGTGTGCCAACCGATATGACTTGGCTTGATATGCACCTGACCCTTGTGCCAGCTAAGGGGGCTAGAAGCTGCATCTGCAGGGAGACCAGTCTGGCAGCTGGGTCTCAGTTTTGAGTCCAGGATCTTCTCCGTAGCTGGGGCAGCCCAGCCCTACCACATTTCACAATGGAAAAGGAATGAAGAACATTAGCAACTCAGCCATAGTCCCAGATGGAAGAACAAAGAGCCAGTCCCAGAAAAAATGTCCCTTTAGGAAAGGGTTTGATGCTGGATGTGTCCAGTAGGCAAAACTAAAACTTTGTTTTGTTTAAACGGCAGCATCCAATTAGGGAAATCAGCATTTTGGGTAGTTCCCTACCTCAAAGGCTCTACCACAAGAAGCTCCTTTATTTGTTCACTCTTTAAGTCAGAAAACTCTGGGAGGTTTGAGATTGAGCTGTTCCAGATCCAGGCTGGCAGTCAGACTTGGGTCTCCACCCCAGCCTGCAAGGAAGGGAGCAAAGCTGTTTGGTAGACACCTCCACACATGGAGGAAGGGTCAAAACAAACTGTTTTTGTTGATGACTAACCACAAAACAGTTTACAATCTCTTTTAACAGAGAAAAAGAGTTACTAACTATAAAGTCATTTGTTCCCTGGTTTTAACTGGCGATCCCAAGTGACCATTGCAACATTAATTAGACGGCCATACTCCCTACAAACTGGTTATTCTCAAGTTTACAGAGGAAAATACAACTACTTTTCACTCTGTACCATAACAAATCTTGGCACATAGTCAGTACTGGAATAATAACCATGGTCCAAGAATGAAAAATATGTAATGCTGAACCCAGTCCTATTTTTATCAGAGGGAAATTACAATCTTTGGCAAGTTTTTGCTTAGCACTGCATTTTTCTTCTGTGTCCTGATAGCTGAAGAAAGAGTTCCTTACACTGTTATTCTGCTGTAAACGCATTGCTACTTGGAACTATTGGAAATATAATTGGGTACATCACACAATAGGGGTTTCCAGCAGAGTCAAGCCAATTTGCTTAGAATGTGCAACTAATTTCAAGCTGCTTTGGTTTCACCATCTCTGCAAATAAATAATGTCACACTTAAAAGCACCTTTGATCAAGGATTTCCAAGTGGCATTAAATCCATTTGACAAACTTGGAGTGGTGTGGGTGGGGAAACGATGGGATGGGAGAGAGAGAGAGGGATAACTAAAACGAGTTATACCGCAAAACAGTAATACAGGCGCAGAAGAAAACCAAGAAAATCAACTTTACAGGTCACTTCTAACTATTACATGATGTTGCCCCAGTAATGAAATCCCAGCTTCTTACTTTTCAACTACTCACACAGTCCATGACTCGTTGAATTTATGGTTACATTTTAAGTCTAATTAAAGTTAGAAGGAAAAATACTACCTCGAATTAAAATTTAACTAGGTAATTTATCTGCATTAATCTTTCTATACAGAGCTATTTTTTATTAATCCTACAAAGCCCATTTACAAAAGCAGCTCTACACAAGTATAATACTAGCTCCACAGCTCAAAGAATGCCTCAACACAACACTGGGTCACATACTTCTCTGACTGCAATAAAAACCAACTGCTGGAGTGATACTTTTAAACCAGCAAGGCATGAACTAAAGGCATTTTAATTTATAAGACAAACCCATGGGTGTGGTAATGGAAAGGAGTATAACACTCCTGCACCTCAAAATTTCAGGAAACCTACATTTTGGTTGTGTCATTATGCAACGTATCATTAAATAACAAGTCCGGTTGCTGTGCTGCAAACCCTTTTTCTATGCCACTTTAAGGTTAGCTATACCCATGGTAATGTATCATTTTTCTATATGTTAAAAAAGTCAGAGTGCACACTAATGGCTAACTTCACTCACCATCAAAATTCCCAAGCAAATTTTTAAATAACTGATGATATCAATATGAGAGATATGCTTACAAGACAACATTGGATACCGAAAGGTCTGTGCATGTATCATCCATTAGGAACACAGCATTACATTCAGCAACTAAAGATTATGGATCAATATGCAGACTCTGAGAATTAGCAAGGGGCAGGCCGCCTCTCCTACCCTTTACCCCCTCCTCCCAGTGCGCGCACACTCTTCTAAAATGTCCTCTTGAGAGCCAAGAGAAAAATGAAATCGCTGTGCTTCCAACAGCTGTCTCGACTCTACAGAAAAATAGCCATGCTGCCCCAGATAACATTTTTCATTCTATAAAATATTAACAGCCTACTTCCACAAAAACTCAAGATATATGGCCCACCATGAAAATAAGAGATGGTTAGTTATTAAGAAGGCATACTTGACAAGAGTTAAAAGGAATTTAAAATTGTAAGCAACATTCTTGATAACCTCCCAGCCGAGTAATAAACATCTCCTACTATGCACATCTAATTGTTTATTGGTAGATCTAATGACCATTCTCCATTTACAGCATAGTAACCTTGCTAAAACCAACTGATTAGCAAAGAAGCACAATTCCACTTGTGGATCAAGATTTCAAAGTTCTCTCTGCTTGCTGCAAGGAGGACTCTCCCCCTTTTCCAACAGGATGGAAATTGTGCAACAGAAGTCGGGACGCACCTTTGGAGTGTTTCCCTGACGGCCTCTTGGGTAACGACTCCTCAACGGAATGTGCTGATGTATGTAGTGCATTTTCCAAACTGTTACTGACACTGTTTATTGGGGTCTCGGATCTTGGAGTGACCTGGAAAAAACCATAATAAATAAAGCTGTAGTAACTCTAGAACAGTCTATTTTCCTCTACTGAATGAAGAGTACTTCAAAATCAGTTAAGCAACATCAAGAACATTACTACTCTCTTCTTAAGCAGTTACACACATTTCATTATATTTTTACAAGTCGTATGGGGAAGTTGTTGTTAGCAGCCATTTGCAAATCTGGATTGCCTACTGCAATCCACATGGTACGAAACACGTATTGCGCACATGCTTTATTAGGCTTCCAAGATAGTTAACTTTACACCTGCTTACAAGATGGTTGGCCCCTGCCTACAACAATTAACTTCAACAGGAAACCTAGAATTTATTTCTTACTCTTGTGAGTGGCAGCCATTTTTAACATTGTGTCATGCATTTACAAAAGATGCAGACTGAAGGTACGACTTTAAAATATTACTACGATAAATTACAAGCAACTTGTTTCATTTCCCAAAGATACTGCATGACAGAACAACTCACTTGGCTTTGAAGCCTGGGACCTTGCCATCAAGATCATATTTTGTTGAAAAATTACTCAGTGTGAAAAAAGGAAACTTGAACAGCTGACTGCATCAAACCAGACTTTAAAGCCTAATATGTATCTTTTAGGCTGCACTAAGCATAAGGAACATATTTTTGCTGTTACTCAAGAGCTGCAGAAGCGAATATAAATCACAAGAAACAGAACAATTAAACTACTAGAGTTACTGTCCATACCAGCATTCACATCCGTGTAGAGAAACACCTGTTTTAGCAGTCTGATGTTTAGAGTTTGCCACAAACAGCAAGTCAAGTAGCGTGTCAAATTTTGTAAGTAATAAAAAGCAGATACAAAGGACAGTCACATTAGTAGCACTAAACACAAGGACGTAACTACTTAAAGGAAAATGTGCATCTTAAACAGGTAACATCATCAAAAGCGCTCAAACTAAGGCATTCCTCGATTATTCAAAGACCACATTTGAACTAGCAAAAAATCCCAGTGTGTATGACTACAATCCCAATTTCAGTTATGATTTATGAAAGAACAGAATATGGGACAAGAAAACAACATACCAAAAGAACCTAGTTGGTATTCATTGTAACAACAGTTCAATTTTCTATAAGGAACAAGGCTCATTCATACGGCCGTCATTCCAGGCAAAGACATTTTTCTAGAAACACCTTGTGTACCCTACTGATAGTCTGGTAGCGCATGACCAACTGGATTATATATTTTGCTTTTAGTATAATGTGTCTCCACTTTGGTAGAGTATTATCCTTTTGTGGCTTTGATTTTTAAACTTTGACCTTCACAAGTGGGCACACACATTTTCACATTAGTCTGCTTTTATTATTCAAAAGTTTACTCGGATGCCTCTTGCCAATTACACGGTTGCCTTGATATCATCTTCATCAACAACTTGCAGATTAATAAGGCTCGCAATGATATGCATAACTCTCTTACAAATACCAAAAGGACTCTACAGAAGCTTGAACAAACAGATAGTCCTGCACTGTTCCCCGAAGCACTTTGGCATTCATACCAAAGCATGAGTTTTGGTACAGTGATGCTCAACTTTTTGGCTCCACAGGCCAAATGAGTGGTGCAAGGCTGGCCACAGGCTAGATTAGACACAGCATGCCAGGATAAGGCCCCACTCTATCGCTGCATGCCCAGAGTCCCACAATACACCCAGTTGGCCCTCAGCATCCACCCCTGTGACCCAGGATCAGGGCCGTGTCCTTGTGCCTCCTCCATCCTGCCCCTCTGGCTAGGATCGAGGGACTGGTGCTCCTGCCACTGCCCCACATCTCAGGATCAAGGGACTGGACCCTGCATGCCAAGATCAGGCTCCAGGCCCTGTGCCACCCTCATGGACAGGGCCAAGCTCTCTGGCCCACGAGGCTCCCCACAAACCCAAAAAACTGACAGCAAGGGAGCAGTGCCACTGCTCCCTTTCCTGCTGCCAAAAAGTTTTGGCCTGAAAGGCTTCCAAAAAGTCCAAATGACATGATACCAGGGGCTGGGTTTGGCCCAAACACCCCTGCTCTATACTGAATATTGAAGAGAAATTTCATCACAGTGCCACTGGTGTTAGGAAGTTTAATCTCAAAAACAGAGCAAAGCAAAGGTATTCTCTAGATGAGTGGATCAGAAGATGCAGATCATAAAAAGGAAGCCCAACAGTCATTTTCAAACACAATTTCAAGTGCTTATAAACACATGTCTACACTGCGGATTTCAGAAATTCTCTTAACTCACAGCCTTTGTCTGGGAAATACATTTCCTCTACTTATACTCACTTCTTCCAGACAGTAATCGTCTTCACTCACAGCTTTCAATTTTGTACACTCAAGAACTAACAGTCACTTCCTCCCAGGAAGGCCAAATTATTTTTGTTCTTTTTGGTAAAAATGAATTTAACCCACGTCTTAATCAGCTAAACTCATTTGCTATGCGATTCACTCTCAAGTCAGAAGTACTGGAACTGACATGGAACAAAATATGATACAGAACTAATGCAAAGTTCAGACCTGTTCCAAACAAAGTATTTTAGCTAGCAAGCAAATGGGAGTATGAGCACAAAATTAAGGACTTAAAATCTTGGTCCTGACTTTAAATGACATTTTTTACTGCGATTTCCTTTTTCTTGGAAAATTTCAAGAATGTGCAACATCAAAGGATATGGAAGCCTTTTTAAAAAAAGGGTTTCTAACCAGGCAAATTTTTGCACCCATAGGCTCTTAAAAAAAAAAAAAATAAGAATCACATAGTTCATACGTGTATGGACTGTCAAGCCTACAGACCTAGAAAAAGCCTGATGAAAGAAAAAAGCATCCACGTTTATATATAACTTGCTTTCTTTTTATGCTTTTAAGGCTATACTGTTTTTGGAAAAACAGGTTTGATATTATATACAAGTGCTGTGAGTGCAGCCAAAAGTAACATTTTTAAATAATATTTTGGAGCTACCACAGTCTAGAAGGTAGTCATGTGTCTCTCCAGAACATCTGTACTTAATCTTTTCCTTGACTGCCTGGATGTTGCTTGAAATTGTTTGGTTTGTAATCATAAATTTCACTAGTGCTATTTAATCCCACACTGCTAAATAGTAGCTTAGACAGACTTCAACAGACAGTTGAAAATAAGGAGAGTCAGGAAAGAAGGCAGGTACTGAAGGAAAATTGGCGGGGGGCGGGGGGGGCAGGGAGAGGAGGGATGTGGTATATTTTCTACAACAATCAGTGGACTAAACTCATACTATACAGGTTGGCCAAACGAGGCAGGTTCAGCGTATCTGAAGACCATAGTGAACCACAGAGTAAATGCCTTGAAGTGTGGAGAGATTTTGGCTTGTTTTTAAACTCTACCTTTGAGAAACAGGTGAGCATGTGGGCTTTGCTTTAAAAATCCTTAGCGGATACATGCGGATAAACAAGAATACTGTTAAGCCAGGAGGACATTTTCTGTAAAGGTTAAATGGACTGCTGTCTTTCAAGTATAGAAATAGAAACCCATGCCCTCCTAGAATTCTCCAGAATTGAAAGCAGGCAAGTTGACTTTTGGATCTTTAAAGCTATTGATTATGATCATTTTGTTATGGCATTTCTGTCATGTCTGAGACTCCCAAAGAGAGAATCAGGATCCCTTGTTCAAGAATTGATCTCAGCAATTTGCTTCTTCAGTTTTTAAAACTACTCTTATGATGGACAAATTGACATTCCAAGAGATTTCACGCAGAGATCAATCCAGACTATATTTGGTCACAAACCAAGGACAAACATTTTTCAGAAGCTAAGCCAAATTCACTACTGTTTTCATACTAGACAGCACAGCATCTAGTTGAGTTTATTCTTAATGGCACAAGGGCAGTTTTCCAACAAAGCTACTTTCTGCTTTGCCATCAGCACCACCATCTCATGGGGAATCATCAAGTACAGCAGAAATCTTCCAGTGCCACAAGCCCAAAAACGGGGTTCCTCACCACCCTCCAAGTTTTGCTGCTGGTATAATAGGACAAACACAGAATGGCTAACACAGGATGCCCCCATGCCTCTGTAATCCTTAGCTGAATTTTTGGTTGTATGCAACTAAAGCAGGCATAAAAATGCGATGAGCTCTCAGCCTTGGTACCTGGCCCTGCAGAAGTAGCAGTGCAGACAAGGGAGTGCAGAGGTGACGTAGAAAGTTGAAGTAGCAGCCACTTCTAAAGAGGAAGATGATTCAGTTTGGGCATTCTCATAAGCATATGAGGATTTACAGACAATACATATATCTTGCCTGTTCCACAGTCTTGGGGCTTGAGACCCCCATCCCCTATTAGCAGCCCCACCAAAAGTGGTCACGCTTTTCGACTGCTAGCAAGTGTGGCAGTTGGGTAGGAATGAGGTAGAATTCTTTAGGTGGGCATGTCCGAAGCCAATTCAGACTTCACATTTTTAATCCTTCTAATTTTAATCCCCATCTGAAGATCAGTTTCAATCTCCAAATATTGTAATGGGGTATCCCTGCAGAGAACACATGGCAACACTCTAATCTTCAAGTAAGACAACATGGATAATGATGGCAAAGGCTGCCTATCCAAAAGGAAAGGCGATAACCTCCTAGCCAGATGGAGATGGCATGGGCAGACTAAGTTACTACTGTATTACAATAGTTGAGCAGCAGCTAATCAGCTAGTGTCACTCCAAGCTGCAAATCCTAGTAAACAATGGCAGACTCACACCCTTAACCAAAGGGTTACACTATCTCCTCTCGCTGTTTCCTGAAATCCATCATCTCAGTCTTCAGTGAACAAAACTCTCATTCATGCCCCAATCTCAACTAGCCACTGACCAAAGTGCTGAACTGCACCATCTGAGTTGAAAGAGAAACAAAAAGGGACATACAGATGAGTGTCATCCTAGCAAACACACAACATCCACCTTTGCCTGTATTAATTACCCCAACATCATTAGATGTTCACATAGCAAAAAGGGGGACAGAACAGCACCCTAAAGTATC